TAAAAGAGCTTACTATATAGATAATTACTAAGATTTTTATACTTCTTTAGAAGCTATAGTAGTTAATTATAGTATATGTATTTAGATAGCTTATACTTTTATAGAAGTATATTACCTAAAATTATAGCTACTATAATTAAGTAAACTATTATAAGCTTTTTCTAGTCTTCTTTTACTCTATATAAGTATTAGAGAAGACTATTTAGAAGGTTATTATATTATATACTATTTTATAGATTATATAGTATATAAACTTCTAGTTCTTTTACTTTTAAATCTTTATATTACTCTCTAATTCTAGAGCTTAATTATATTAGTTCTCTATAATTATATCTCTAGCGTATTAGTCTAGAAGTAAATAGTAGTTTTATTTTACTTTATTTTAGAGAAGTTCTAAACGTAGAGTATACGTAGAAATATAGTATACTTAAAGATACTCTATTCTAATAAGTACTATATATCTTATTCTAATAAAAGCTTTTTATATTAGAAAGCTATTTATTACTTAGTACTAGTAGGCACTTTTCTCTAGTTTAGTATACTTTCTAAATATTACTATTATACTTCTAACTAGACTTTATAGTCTAGTATACTCTAGGCTTTAGTATTTACTCTAAAGTAAATAGGCTAGTATACTTTTAAAAGTTTATATAAATTTCTAGTAGTTAGCTAGCTAAGCTTTCTACTTATATAGATAATATATTATATACTACTTATTAATTAGGCTAGCTAGCCTATTTAATAGTAAGCTATAATATACTACTTTCTAGCTTCTAGATAAAGTTTTTAGAAGTATACTAGTCTTATATTTTATCTACTATAGTATAGAGCTAGTTAAAAATATCTTTATACACTTCTTCTACATTATATAGCTTATTCTTATATAAAAGATTAATAATATACGTAAGCTCTTCTACTAAGTACTTCTAGCTACCTTTAGCGCTACTTTTATAGAAAAGCTCTTTATTAAAGCTTATATTTCTTATTATAATTATTTAATTAAGCTTTAGAACTTATATTCTATAAATATTAGACGCCTTATATTCTACTAAGTATCTAATATAGCCTTTTAGTATAACTTTAAAGTTACGCTTATCTTATCTAGCTACTTACTTTCTATTAAGTAAGTAAGCTTTATAGCTATAGACGTAAATAGTACTCTAATTTAAGTAAAGATTAGCTATAATAGTATAAACCTTCTTATTATACTTTATATACTATACGTTAAGTATAGTATTAGGTGCTAAAAGATTATAAGTATATAATAGACTTATATTATATAGCTAGATTACTACTTCTATAATATCTAGCTAGAGCTTTTTAGAAAGATTTGCACTAACTCTTATCTTAATAAACTTAGTAATTATCTTTTAACCTACTTTCTTTACTTCTTTATTTAGTTTATAAATATAAATAAAAGTACGCTTTATAATAATACTCTACTCTTTAGCTTATATCTTAAAGCGTAACTTACTTTTCTAAAGTAGTATTATAATATTATTATTTTATATAATAATATAGATATTAAGCTTATACTAAGCTATAAGAAAGCTTATAAAATTATAAAAAACTTTTATAATCTTTATAAGCATTTTAGCTTAGAAAGTATATTAATAGATCTTACTACTATAATTATCTTTAAGTACTATAATTTAGAGCTTTCTATTATAACTAGTAGAAAAGTTAAAGAGATTTTATAATATTCTCTAATAAGATTTTAGAGCTTTCTTACATAGTTACCTAGAAATACGCTACCTTATATAAGTAATAGCGCAATACTTATACTTACTTTAGCTTATCTTTTTAATATATATATTACGCGTATTCTTAATAAGAGCTTAGAGTACTTCTAAACTTAAGTAGCTTACTTTTATATACTAAAGCTTTTCTAAGTTAGACTAAGAAAGGCTTTTCTAAAATTATTATAAGCGCTAGTTATTAGTTATACTTATTATAGTTAGATAAAACTTTAAAAAATTATATTTAATAAATATAAGCTTATACTTTCTTTTAAGCTTTACTAGTATAAAGTTATTAGTAAGCGTTTCTATATAAAGTGTTAAGTCTAACTCTAGATACTATAGTCTAGCTTTATTAAGAGCTACTTCTAAGATAATATTAATATAGAAACTTTTTATAAGCGCTATACTTATTAAAATAAAGTTTTCTATATATAGTTCTCTTTTTCTAGTTAAAGTATTTCTAATTCTTTATATACTATATCTAAGTATCTAGAAGAAAGAGCTTTCTACTTCTATAGTATAGAATTTATATACTCTTATAAAAGTTTTTAGCTTAAGTAGAAATATATTATTAATAAAATATACTATTACTTTATTATCTAAGATAGTACTTATAAAAAGTAGATAAATATTAAAATTTATAGTAAAGTATATACTACTAATACTTAGCTAACTTATAATAAGAGTAAAGTTAATAAATATTACCTAAATTAACTTTAGATAGATAGAGTTTAGGCTCTTAATCTATACTTACTATAAAGTAGTTTATCTTTTCTTATTAAGAGCTCTTTATAGGCTATTATACTTTAAGTTTTTAAGCTTAGTAGTAATCTTAGCTTTAGCTTTATTAGAAAGCTTTAGAAGTTTATCTATAAGCGCTATTTCTAAATGCTTATATATAGTAGTAAACTACTTATAGTACTATTTATATAAGTAATTCTTCTTAGACTTTTAGAATAAGTTATTATTATTAGAAGCTTATTATAGTACTTCTATAATAGTAAATATATTACTTTTACTACTAAAGTAAGTAGTATACTCTTAGATTAGCGTAGTAAAAATCTTTAATACTTATTTAAGAGTAATCTAAGTTTTACTAATAGTAAAAGCTTTAATAAGGTTCTACTATATAAAGCGCCTTTATTTTAGAGTAAGTCTAACGCTAATTACTTCTAAATAGTTCTAAATAGTAAGTGTATTATTAACTTTAGTAAGTTTATATACTTTAGCTTAAGCTAAAATATAGAGGTATTTCTATTACTAGCGCTTAATATTAATATATCTTTATTACGCTTTTTAGAGGTATACTCTATACTATAAGTATATAAGATTTTTAGTATAGTTTTCTTCTAAAAAAACTATAAACTTAAGGTATTTAATAAGTACTTATAATATAGCCTTTTTTTTTATAAAAATAAAAAGTATAGTAGAAGCTAGAAGCTTTAAGCTAATAGTTTAATTAATCTAGTTCTAAAGATACTTAATATAAGTACTCTTTAACTACTATTTTATTACTTATACTTTATACTTTATAATAAATAGGTTATACTTATTAGTATAAAGCTTATTAACTAAAGTATTTTATATAATTACTACTAGCTCTAAAGTAGTTAGAACGCTTATTTAAATAAAAGTAGCTATTTTAGTATTAGAGTTAATATTAGTTTAAATTTTTTTACTTAAAGTATAAAATTTAAACTAAGTAAACTACTTAAGCTAATACGCTAAGTTAGTAAGTATAAAAGCTTTTATAAAGATTATTATAAAGTTACTTATTATAAGTAATAAAGTAGTGCTTTTATAAAAGCGCAAAAATTAGTAATAAAATTAGTATTACTATACTTTATTAAACGCTTTACGTTTTAAGTATATAAATATAAAACTATATTATTTTTTTTAAAGCGCTAGGCTTATAACTATTATATTTAGAAGTATAAAAATAAATAGAAGATAAATTATTATTTTATAAGCTTACTTAAAAAGCTCTTTTAAGTAGTAAAGCTTCTAAGAGCTTATTTTAATTTATACTAGTATAATTATATGCTGTACTCTTAAGAAGTATCTAGAGATGCGTTCTATAACAAAAGTTATTTAAGTTTTATATAAAAGTAATAATAAACTAGAGTAAAAAGTATACTATTATATTATATATAAAAAAGAAAGAAGTATTATAAAAATAAAGCTTCTATACTCTTTTTTAACTTATATATATATAAAAATCTTAAACTTTAGTTCTATTTTATTTTATTCTATAGTACTATAATAACTTATTAATAATAAGCTACTTATAACTTCTATAATATATATAAGATATATAATAACTAAATCTGCCTATTAAATATAGAAGAGATGCGAAAGAGGTCGACCCTTTCTAACGTTAAGATTCGCCAAATCTACAAAGGCAACGCCAAGGAGTACTTTGCGCACAAAGCCATCTTGTGTGCACAATCCAAGTGGTTCATGCGGGCCTTCACTGGTCAATTCAAGGTAGATGCTGTGCTAGTTTACAACTAGGGCGCGTAAACTGACGGTTAGATATAGGAGGCCACTGCTGATGTTATCGAAATGAACGACGACGACCCCGACAGCTTCGAGCTCATGTTGCGGTTCTTTTACACCCCAGGAGACAAGCTGGGACCGATATGCGAGCTCAGCGGAGGCACCAAAGACGCACCCTCAGCGGTAGACATCCAAGAGTACCTTCTAGACCCGCTCGAACTTTACGCCCTCGCCGATAAGTACGATGCTCCAGCGCTGTGCGCGAATGTCACCAGAACCTTGAGCAGAAATCTCCTGAAGGCGTGGTTGAGCGGCCCACAGTTAAGCAGTATCATCCGCAAACATTACGAAACGTGTATCACGGTTGGTAATCCGATGAGCGGCTGCATCACCGGGCATATCATTAATCGTTATATGTCATGGTTGGCGACAGATGAGGAAGCGTCTCTCTTGCTTAGAGAGTATCCGACATTCTCTGTCGACATGCTCTTATCACTTCGGCACAACAACAAGATCGTGTTGCCTGTTCCTGCGTAAGGGATGCCACCAACATACTCATTGAGCAAGATCTCAAGACGAAGTGGAACTCTCCAACATCAGGGCACCTCTTAAGACGCCGATTGTTTACATCGTTAATGGAATCCAACTGGGAGCCATATCATGTAGTAGTATTCGTCTCGACGGTTTCTCATAGCTATCCTTGAGACCACGAGCGTTCAATATACAAGTTCTCGTCCATGTCCCACTTCACCTGAAAAGCTATCTCTGGGCAACGTCTAGCACGCTACTACCCTCCCACTGACCCCACAACTTCCGCATAACACCCTGTCTCTCAATCGTATCCTGTAGATCCTTCAGCGCAGCAAGCCTTCCACTCCCATCCTTCATCTTCCAATTCCAACCCTCTGAGCGACCAGCCATGACGAGCTCCCACTTCGCCTTGTTATCAACCGGCTGCATATGCACACCAGGCTCGCTGTAAACCGTGACCACATCGCGGGCCTGCAGAAAGGCGAAGTTGGATGTACCCTGCATGCATTCGCGGATCTCGAGGACCTTGAGGGCGAGATGCGGGTTGTAGACGCGCGCGGTATCTGGTTATGTTAGTATGATATCAATGAAGTGACAACATGACAACGTACTGAGGATACCAATCTTCATCTCATCAGCCACATCCGCAACAGCGACTTCCTTCTCCTCGTGCCCCGTCTTCTCAACCATCCTCACGTTGATCTGGCGGCCGCCAACCTTGCTCCAACACAGCTCTTGTACCGCGCGCTCGGCCTCCCCCTCTCCGGTGATCTTGATATATGTGCGTAGCGGATAAGCGAGGTTCTTGACGTTGGGTAGCGCAAAGTCAGGCGAGATCGTGAAGTCCTGAAAGAGTAAGATCACGTCTCGGTGGGTGAGCTTTGGTGGGTAATTGGAGAGCTCGATGGTGGTCCAGGACATGTTGGAGAGTGAGGGTGTGGGAGAGGGGGTTGGTGTGGGCGGTGTAAGTGTGATGGTGATTGGGTGAGGGAGAGGGAATCGGGGTGGGGCGAGGCGGTCTAGGTGTAGTGAGCGAACGGTCTTGGTGAAGATTTGGTGAGCGAGATTGGTTGGCTCGTCCGTTTGCGCTTGTGGTGGGGACATTGTATACTAATTTTGATGGTTATTAGCGTAAAGAGAAATGCTATTCGATCGCAAAGAGGTTCTGGTATTGCGGTTGTGTGAGAGATTTGGATTCTGGGTTCAGAACCGCTCGAAGTTTACTATCTACCAGATGATGATATCCTCAGTCACTTTCACAACGAACTCGCATTCACCACTTGAACTGAGAAAGGTAGCAAGGAGAAAGGAGCTCAGATTCAGGAATTATCTAGGTGACTACGTGGTCTTTCCACAGGTACATCTCAGTGATGATCAAGTAGCGTGGCGATAGTCAGACTACCAACACCTTGCTATAATCCACAACAAAAGCCTGTGAAGCTACCACGCACCCGTATCATTGAGACTTTCGCTTTCGATCGACCTCATGTAGTCTGTAACTCGACTTGATCCGTTTGGTGAAGGGGAGGAGTGAGGAGAAGGCGCGTGTCCACGTGGTGAAGTGGGGCCATGATCTGACGCGTAGCAATCCATTCGTCGCACAACCTTTCGACTCGCTCGCAACCGCGAACAGCAACGACAATATGGAGAGCGTCTACATACCGCCACACCTTCGGAAGAAGGTAGAGCCCACAGCGGTATCAGACGTGCCCACGACACCCGTCGCAATACCATCAGCGGTGCCCAGCTGGAAGTCCCAAGAACAGTCCGATGACGACTTGTACACCGTCCAGGAAATCCACAACTACTTCTGGGGAGAGGGTGCCGTCACCGAAGATGCACATAACGCTACCCTCCATTCTTCCGCGACAAACCCGAATGGTCTATCGTGGGTGCTGTTGTTCAATGGCGCGAACCCGAAGTGGGACGAGGACGGGATTATATTCGTCAAGAGCAACCTGAACCTTCTCACGGTAGCCACACCTCCTTCCGAGCCTAAAACAGTAATAGCCGTCGCAGTACCCGCCCAACGATTAGACGAGCCTGGCGAGGACGGAGGTGTCATGCTACCAACGAGCAGCGAAGTCGCAGAGGAGGACTACGAGGAGGGTTCATCGAGTGGAACACCGGAGCCCACCGCCACTGAGCCGCTATCGGACCACCCCAACGAGAGAGTTCTCATCGACTACTCTCCAATTGCCGTCTTCTCTCAGCCTGTCCGGCGTGGTAGCCGATCATTCAAGTTCATCGGATGGTACGAGATTGAACACCTACAAATCCTCGAGCCTGGTTCCCAAGGGCTGCTTCATATGTTGTGGGACAAGTGGAAGACGAAGGATAAATACGGCAGCTATGTACCAAGGCAGCGAGGCTCCGTCAATTGGATGAAGAGCATGTCTTACTCTTGGGCTGTGGTCCAGATGAAGAAAGATGAAGAAGCTATGAGCAGCAAGGGTGAACCAAAGATTGAGCGAAGGGAAGATGACGAGGATATGCCAGGAAAGAACGGAGGACAGAGCGTCAACGAGATGCTTGCCAAGATGAGGCTCGAAGGAGGAGGCAAAGAGGTGGCGCCCGAGGAAGAGGAGACTTGAGAACTCTTACTGCGGACTGATCTGTGTATGATCGGATAATAGGAACGACATCGCACAGCAGCGATAGGATGCAGGTGCAATGATGGGCGAAATAGTGTCAACTTCAGATAGTAATTGAAGTAATGACACCGAGCTTGTAGTCATCTGATCAATATCAGAAGCACCTCATGTACCGTCTCATCCTCTCAAAGATCCCCGCCATTTGACCAACAGCCTCTCCCATCGACATCTATGTGTTGGATATCTGTCGTCGAGAAAACCGAAGAAGATAGAAAAGTGGCACGAATGATGTTTAGCCGGATGAGGCAGCCGTGTCCAAGATGCGGAGGTCGACGCGCTCCGATTGGTAATGTCGGAGAAGGCCGATGGTGGGGCTGCCGCGGGGTATCGTCACCACTTGGGACACTATTGCCGTCCGGCTCATTGCTTATCGGTATTTTCTCTCAATTGTAATTCCTTTTCCTTGTTGCGTACGCTTCTGCTCGCATTCTGAGCCCTCCCCTCGTTGTCTTCATACAGTACTACAGTCGTCTCCTTTTCCCGAAATAACAGCGTCGATCGCAAAGCAGCACCCCACCTCAATCCCCACCTTCCCCTGAACGCGACGAAATGACCGAGTCAATCCCCAAAACGCAAACCGCAGGCTGGATCCAAGACCCCGGTCCGGATTGCGTCCTCCAAATTCGAAATGACGTCCAAGTCCAATTCCCTTCGGCCGGCGAACTCCTCGTAAAGCTCGAATACAGCGGCATATGCCACAGCGACTGCCACAACCTCGTTTCGCCCGGCAAATACACCGAAGTGCCCGGGCATGAGGGTGTTGGCACTGTCGTATCGCTCGGTCAGGGAGTGTCGGAAGACTTGCTGGGAAAGCGAGTGGGCATAAAGTGGCTGTGGAACGCGTGCAAGACGTGCAGTAGCTGCAAGCAAGGCAAGGAGAACCATTGCGCCAAGCAGAAGAACACGGGAAGAAGCGTATGGGGTACGCTACAGCAGTACGTGGTCGCGGATGCGGAATTTGTCACTATGATCCCGGAAGGAGTTAAGAGCGAGATCGCAGCGCCACTCCTTTGCGCAGGTCTCAGTCTTGCGGGCGCCGTGTCAAAACTTACACCTGAAGTCAACCCCGGTGACTTCGTCGCTATCATCGGTGCTGGAGGCGGTCTTGGACATATCGGTGTGCAGATTGCTACGATCAAGGGATACAAGGTCATTGCAATTGACAGCGGTGCCGAGAAAGAGAAGCTGACGAAAGAGATGGGCGCCGTGGCTTTCGTGGACTACGCCAAGCAGGATGTGTTGCAAGCCGTGCGAGATCTGACGGATGGGGAAGGCGCGCATGGTGTCATTTGTGTTGCTGGCAGCGAAAGAGCGTATCTTCAAGCTCCGGCTTTGGCGAGGAATAGTGGCGTATTTGTTTGCGTGGGGCTTCCACCGGATACGTTTATGTTCCCTATGAGCCCTATTCATATCGCCAATAGAGGTATATCTTTACATGGCTATTGATCAGAAAAGCGCTAACGAGTCTAGGGCTTGTCATCAGAGGATCCTCAACCGGTAGCGCCAAGCAGATGGATGAGCTCCTACAGATGGCTTTGCAGGGCAAGATCACACCGAAAGTCGAAGTTTACGACTTTGCCGACTCCCCGAAGATTCTCCAAGAGTTGCAGCGTTATGAGGTTACGGGTAGGAAGGTGGTACGCGCACCGTAAAAGTGTGGTGAAGATGTTCGGAATGTAGTAGTTGAGCGCACACATTGGGGTGGTGTTTCGCATGTGCGCGGTGTGGCGTTGGGGCGGCTCAAAGTACGGAGTTTAGCATGGAAGAGCGTTGAAGCGATGCATGAACAGGAGTTGAGGGCTTGTCGTGGAGTAGGGGGTAGGTCATAGGGTGTATTGAAGGCGCAATGTGATACCCTTGTAAAAGATTAGGGTTGTAGGGGAGCGCGGTTATGACGAATGCACTATCCTGAGCTCGCGAAGGCGCTATGCGGGTCGTCCGGACATTCCCATGCTATCGCGTACATTAATCATTACATGAATGTCGACTAATACCAGTCTCCGCTCTCTTCGTTCGCCTTCACGTCCATAGGATTCATACTCATGATCCGCTGCCCGGGTATCGTGTCCGTGAACGCACTCTCAAACACACCACTAACAGCTCTTCGTCCGATCTCCTTGAAACTATCGTATTCCTGATTGTCACCAGTGATAGCACTCCATTCAGGATCCTCGGGGCTGCGCGCAGGGCCTAGATCACTCCATCGCGTTACGATGAGAGCCTGCTTGAAGCGCTCAGGGCCGTTGCCGCGCACGCTCTTGTCTTCAACAAGTTTGAGTTCGAACAGGTACTCGGTCGGGCATCTGGGGCAGCGGCGCATTGGTCGGCATATGGAACAGAGGTTGACCATGCCAACAGCCTTTTTCCCTATGCTACGTTCGCGGAACTTGTCGAGGGCTGTCGTTTCGGATTCGTGGACATGAGGAATATGCGACAATGCGCATTTAGGTATCGATGTTAGCAGCCCGTGCTTCCAATGTGCGCAAACGCTGAAGTAGGGCGTGAAGTCTCCACGACTGAACAAAAGCATACGCTTTGCTGCATCTGTCATACCCCCTTCCACGTACTGTTGTGATCGGATGCGCATCAATAGGTGACCTTTGTCGGTAATGTGATAGGTAGAATCATGCCTCCAGGTTGAATAGGTGTCTTTCCAACGGCGGCCTAGCGACTGGTGAGGAATGCCGTAATCTGCACCGTAGGCCCAATGGCGTCGGGCTAATTGAGCGAATGCGAACGGTAATGTGCGACCATCGCTGATACGGAGCCTTGGTGGAGGAATGTGAACGTTGGTTCGATTGGGGCACTCAAAGAGTGGATTGAGAACATTGGGAGGTTTCATTGTCTCCATACCAGGCTGAATGCGCAAATGCCACTGTGCGCATGGGAAACAGAAAAGATGGCGTGGCATCTTGTGGTCCATGGAGAGTAGAAAGTCGAGCCGTTGCGGCCGATGGAGCGGATCCATGAGCAGTTTGTATGGGTGTCTACCTAGTCGAGCGTACATGGTCCGGCATGTAGAGGATAGATTGGCAACGTCGAGTGGTGATAGGAAGTCTGCGACTTGAAGCCATACTTCAGGCGATGCGCTGCCGAGTAACGCTGTTCCATCGGGCTTCGTAGGATCATAGAGTAAAGATACATCATCCCGTTCTTCCTCAATCGTATCGACACCATCAATGTACGTGAAAGCATGCATCATGTCTGTCAGATCCTTTCTTTCTCCGGTATCTTTGTCAAGAATGTCATCGGCCTTGACATGCTTTGAAGGTGCTCGATGAGACTTGGTCAGCTTTGAAGGCTGCGATCTCGATGGCGCGTATGGTAGAGTCTGCTCATTGCCCGACTGTGGTATTGATGCAGATCTCGAGCTGTGTGATTGATACAAAGGTGCGGCATATTGTGGTTGTCCTTCTGAGTTGCGGCGGTAATCGGCTGCTTGTTGCCCAGGTTGTAGGTAGGCGTTGCTGGTATCCATGAGAGCATTGACGGCAGCATATGGATGATCACGCAACGCATGTGGCGCGAGGCCAGTGATGTCTTCATTGGTAGGTAAGCCAAAACTGTTGTCTGAGAGATCGGTTCTCTCGTTCGTAAAGCTACCAGAGTCTTGGCGGTTGGGGTTCGCTACGTTGGTGGTTGAGTCAAGCTTTCCGAGCATATCGCTTCGTGATCCCTTCTTGGAAAGTTTCTTCCGCGTAGCCGGCTCTTTTGGTTGTTTCCCTGATCGCATGCCAAACATGGCGCGCAAGCCGCCTTTCTTGGTCTCTGGTTCCGCCATTGTGGAGACAGCTGCAGCTAGTCGTGCAGGTGATTAGGGAATCTCGCAGCGCTCAAGACGAAGATGAGGGTCGGTCGATATGGATGATGGACAATATGGTATGCGCAGGTGTTACTGATACGGTTCTCTAGAGAGATGGCTTGTCAAACGATGTTTATCGAAATTGCAGTAGGGTGGATGATCATCGTCATAGCGTGGCGGCTCGTTTCGGCAGAGGATCCGTACTCATCCGCTCAATTCGTCCACTAGTGAGCTCAGTCTGTGGGTACACATGTCGTCATGAGTGAAGTGTGCATGCGATAAGGTGCAGTCCAGACCGCTTAAAGATCACGATGTTGGAGCTGGCAATGCGCGATGGGATTGTGGGCACGCGTAAGGTGCGCGACATGCATTGACCATCTGACGTAATCCGCTAGAAGTTTGCCGATCCCTTTTAGTCCCCACCAGACCCAACCTCGCCAACGAAGAACAGCATGCGCCTTTGACCCGACTACACCCACGTCTGCCACCTCTTTCTTGCCGACCCTTTATATGTCGAACGGACTGGCCAAGACAATCCGAAACCACGTTTTCGTACGAAGAAATCAATCGATCTCGAGCTTGGAGATAGCACCTAGGAGGTCATCCTCTTCGAGCATATCGCCTATGGGCTGTGTTGCTGCACTGTGCACGCCTCTACCCAACTTTCGGCGGATATCTTCGATGGTGTCATGATCCTGGACGGTCTGTACACCGTTGTGGGTGCTGAGCGCATCGAACAGTGTCGTCAATCGCTCACAATGATGATTGTCAGCCATAGCGTCAAGCGCCGGTGCAACAGGAAAGATGAAGCCGACCAGTATCTGCATGTTCTTGTGCAAGAAGAGATAGTTCGACTTGACCATGATCTCTATCATGTCGAGCGTAATGGTCTGTACCCAGGTTGGTGCGCCAATCTTCATGGCTTCGGAGATGCTCTTGAGCAGCCGTTCGATAGCTGGCAATTCCCAATCCTGTGTTGTGGTAAATAGCTTCGAGCTAGTTTCAACTGCCTGGTCAAGTCCCTCAGGCGGAATGACGCTGAATCGACCCCTGCCGTATACATACTCGACCTTGGCAGGGACTGTGTCCTCGGCCGCATCAGAGTCGGTATCTTCCCAGGTACAGTTGTACTCTGACTCTGTGTGTTGCTGATACAGGTCAGACCTGTCGAGTATGTCGCACATGTGCTTGATCAAGGTCTTCTCTTCATCCGTCCTCTCATAGTTTTCCTTCTTCAAAGCCATCAGAATATCGGTAACACGGCTAGACTTCATGTTCTCATCGGCCGTGTCGAGCAGTGGAATAGCTTTGTACCCGAACGGAAAGAACGTGTCGTAATTGTTGTGGAAGGGCAGGTAAAGAGAGGTGGCCATCTTCTCCAACAGGCCGCAACCTACGTTCACCGCTACTGTCGATCCGCGTTGTCCGACAGAAAAGGCTCTGAGGAGGCCGAGCGAGAAATCCAGTACGTTGACGGATCCAGGTTCCCAGATGGGTCGAGCGATGAACTCCCCGGCAGCCTCGAGGATGTACTTGCCCGCGATGTCGGCACCCACGATACTTTTGCCGTTGACGACTTCGAGCTCCAGATCCGGATCGATTGTGGCGAACAGAGACCTAGTGCCACCTAATTAGCCGCGAAGTTCGTAAATCATGGGTGATACCTTACCTGTAGAGCTTTACGCCTACTGTAGCCCAGCTCGATTGACTCACAATCTTAGCGTTGACGACATTGACGAGCGCGTGAAGTTTCAGCAGATCTCTACCGACAAGTGCGAGGAGCAACTCGACCTGGCCTTGTACCGTGCTGTCTGGGGTCTGACTATCGATAGAGTCAACGACATCGCGGATGAGCTCAGTGAAGTCGAACTGCTCTTGGTATACGTCTGTTGGAAGCTGTGCTGATACGTCGGCAAGTACCACTGGAGCTGCAGCCATCTTGTTGTTGTGTGTGAATGTGCGTGAGATCGGTGTTGTGCGAGAGACAGCCCTTCGCGTCGAGGTGGTGGGACATGACACAATGGACAGGAGCAAACACTGAAGGCTTGGCGTTGGGCGCAGGGTCAGGGTCTGGCACACTGGCGGCGAAGGTGCGGCTACAATAGTGACAGATGGTAGTAGTACATTGGCTGCTGAGAAGAACGGCAGCAGCAGACTATCTGATATGTCGTATGATACAAGACATCACCTAGGTGTTTCGTACGCCGACCGTATGTGCCAGACAAGCCTTCCACACTTCGCGTTATGCCAGATCCTTGCTTTCACAAAACCCAGGCGTTCTTCCTCAGGGAAATTAGTCCTGCGACCTTGATCTTGGACATCAAATCCTCGTCCGCGTTCACTGTGCGCTCGCGTACTTTCTCCAAAACCCTCGTGAGCTCCGCTTCAGTAATCGGATTCTCATCCAGACCACGCGCAACGAATTCCACGTACTCGACAAATAGGTCGATGTTGTGGTTGCTGAACAGATGCTGTGCACTTACCATCATATCCAAGATCCAAACATTCGTCTTGAGCGACATAAGGAGAGGCGATGATGTTGCGTCGGCTACAGAGGTAGAGGTACGAAGTCACTATATGTCTCACATGCACTTCGTAGAGGCAAGACTTACCTAGTTCGGCGAGGAGCCACATGCGCGGCTGACACCAGACGGCCTTCTGCATATCGGCTTCGAAGTCGGCTAGCGAACGCCTGTAGATGTAGTGCTGGACGAGGCGCGGGCCAGAGCGTAGCTGGTTGTTGCCATCGGGGAGTACGTTTGGGTCGGCTAGTGTCGCTGGGATGAGATGGCAGAGATAGTTCAGCAGCCTGACTGCGACGTATACCCAATTCTTGTCTTCCATAGCGCTCGCGTAGATGATGTCGACCGTGTGTCTCAACTTGACTGGGTCCGCGTCGATATTCTCCGTCACCTCGCGCATGACGGCTTCGGCAGTCTCGTCTAACACGTTCACTGGGATGCTGAAGATCAGGTGGACGACCGCCATGCGGAACATGTCTGAAAACACGAGCGAAGGAGCGATAAACGGGCCGTTCATGTTGAAATGAGACGAGTGCAGGTGGCGTGGTATTGTGGTGTTGTGGATGTAGAAAGGTTGGTGTGAGCAAGTTTTAGGCAGGCAGCAAGCTTTGCACTGAAGACTCTTCGAGGTCGCACAAATCGTCTCGACAGGGTCTTTTGACTAACGCGAATTCAATATGACTTTGTTGCTCTCGGAAGAGATTTTCCTCAGCTTCTCGACCTCCACGTGGAGTTACGCGCGATCATATAGTCTTTGCTTTGGATGGCCTTCCAGATTCCCCAAAACCCGCCTAATGGCCATATGCCTCTCAGCTTCAACCCCATATCCTTGTTTGCCATACTCGTATACTTTTCGATATCGACATGCACTTTGTCATACACCTCAGGCAGCATCTCCGCGTTGTACTTCTTCCTCAACCCTTGATGCCATTTGCGATCGAATTGCGCCCAAAAGTCATCTTTACTGTAGTATGTCTGCGCATACAGCCACTTCATACCGCCCATCTCGCCGAGCGTCTTCTCGAGCGCACGGTTCTTCTGCAAGTAGGTGACGGGGTCTTTAGGACCGAACCCCCAAAGACCAATATTGAGCATTTGGTCTGACTTCAGGGCGCCTTTGGTGTGAGGATGCATAGTCGGTTGGGGGCTTTGCTTCAACGGGCAGAGCCAAAGAGGCCAGATTCCAAATTCCTTGTCGGTATAGTTGATGAACTTTTCGGCGTTGGGGTAGGGTAAAGCCATGTCTTGAACGATATAGCGTGTCGCAATCCCGGACGCATGGAGAGCTCGGTAAAGCATGCGCGTATGGAGGAAGTCGTCCAGGAACCAGCGAGTGTACTTGTTGAAAGGAAAGCGCATGTAGCTGAAAGCGGACCGACCGACCCAAAAGCCACCGCGGTCGTAGCGGAACATGTACTCAGCTAAGGGGATGTACTCCACCACTGGCTTGGTGGAGTTTCGTGTAGCGGCTTCAACATGCAGATAGAACCACGGATCCCACGGGTTACTGAAAGTCTGCGGCTTGGTGTTGGGTGGCAGATCATCTGTCATTTCGCCTGTGACGATCGCACCGTGTTCCTTGCTGAACAAGACACCATCAACATAATCATTCCTCTCGCCTTTCTCACCACGTGTATGGTCTTCGACGTCCTTGACAGCTTGAGCAACGCTACGTGTAGGATAGTATGTTGTCTTGACATATTTTTTCGCCTCGATGAGCTTCAAATCGACAAGCGTAGTGACCCCCAAGGTGCCGACAGCACCGGCAGCCCCTTTAAACAGGTCCTCGTTCTTGTTCTCGCTAGCTTTGACGACCTCGCCGTTAGCCATAACCATCTCCACCTCATTGATAGTGCGATCGAAGAACCCAAACTTGAAGCTACTACTCTCGCCAGCTGTGCCCGCATACCCGCCACCAACGGTTATACCAGGAAACTCCATCACGACGGGTGGCACAAGGCCATGCGGTAGGGTAGCTTCTACAAGCCGATCCATAGGTACGTTTGGCTCGACAAGAGCTGTCTTGCTTTCCGTATCAACGCGTATGACATTCCGAAGAGCACTGATATCTACGACATGCTTCTTAAGATTCGGACGCGTGCTGTTTGTTGAGCCGTGAGATATCCGGAAGGGTTCTTTGCGTGTAAAATAGTCTTTGACTTTGGACGCGACTTGCGCAACGACGCGCTGATGGCGATCCATCTTTGGGGAAGAGAAAAGAAACGAGAACGCCTGGAAATGCCAATGCTATTGAAACATGATGTGTACTTTCGATGTGTGGTTGAGGGTGCGCGACTGCCGGTCGAAGTCGGGACAGACGCAGATTTTCTCCGATGCGCTAAGCTTCACTCATCTGGCTAGCGCTCCCTGAACACCTTCCACCCGATCACATCACTTCTGTCGCTCACGTCTTGTCACTGGTACGATATCGTCTGCATTCTATACTCATCGCAATTCCGCCAGCTGTAGTCAAGCGTCGCTCGCCATCACGATCTGATGAATTCACAGCATTATCTAGAGCGCCTCGACATACGGCCGGTCTATGACCTCATGATATTCTGCGAGAGGAGGCGAGAAGTGTCCTACGTGAAGGAGCAAACGAACGGGCGTGGAGCTGATACTGTGAAAACCCTCTCTGCGATACGGTATAGCCTGTCATCGCTGTATGCATCGTCGCGGTTCCAAAGACTTGGGACACATTCTTCCCCAAACGGGCTAGACCGTTCCCAGGCGAACTTATCGCATACGTCCTTAAAGCTAACAACAAGTCATATCTTGCGACAACGCGTCCCTTCGTATCCATCACCGCCGTTCCGCTTGATTGCCAAGATGACTCCTCTTTTCGGCTTTCACTTCTTATCATTTGCCGCCATTTGTGCTCCCTGCGGAGGTTACATCGGCCTTGCAGAAGCGGGGCGAGTAACAAACAGCCAAGACATGGTATCTTCATGCTGTGATATGTTCACGACAGCGAACTGAGTGCGCGATCACTTCTATCGTCTCATACCGACAATGTTGATTTTGGTGTTGTCGCAGTTGATCGGCCTCGTTACCGCGCTGCAGCCTCTTCCGCCTGTCTCACGACCCTACAGCAACGGCCATGACTTCCGCTTCTCTATCGGCCCAGATGCAAGAAAGATATATATCGACAGAAGTTTCGCCACAAAGAGAGACTCCGAAAGTCTAACGCTCATACCGCCAACTGCCTATGAGTTCGCTGAAACATTCCGCACCGACATCTCATCACTATTTGGTGGTTCCTGGACTCTGGAGCAAGTAGACGACTTCCCGCTCACTGGTATCCATATCGGCCCGATTAGAAACAGCAGTATCTCATTGACATGCGAGAATGGTCAGCCTACAGAAGAAGGATACGAGCTTGAGGTCACCAATGGCACTGTATACATAGGCGGAGCAGGTGCGAGAGGCATGTTCTGGGGAACGCGCACCCTATTGCAGAAGCTCCTGATCGACAACGGCTCTCTCATGGCGGGTCGGATAGTTGATGCGCCTGCATACAGCACACGAGGGTTCATGCTCGACGCGGGTCGTAAGTGGTACGATAAGGGCTTTCTCAAAGAGCTCTGCACATATGCCTCTTTCTTCAAGATGTCAGAGTTCCACTATCACTCTAGCGACAATTATCCCTTGAACCGCGGTCGCAATGAGACGTGGCAAGACGTATTCTCGCACTTTTCGCTATTTCCGGAAGAAAATCTAGAGCTGCAGGCTATCATCCAGCGCCCAAATGAGACACTTTCACGTGTCGACTTCGAAGACTTCCAACATCATTGCGCACAACGTGGCGTCACCGTCATTCCCGAGATCGAAGCCCCAGGCCATGCTCTAGCGATTACGAAATGGAAGCCTGAGTTAGCGCTAGCAAAGAAGGACCTGCTCAACCTGAGCCATCCAGACGCAATCCCGACAGTCAAAGCCATCTGGTCCGAGTTCCTTCCATGGTTTCAAACGAAGGAGGTACATATCGGCGCTGATGAGTACGATTCCGAGCTAGCGGACGACTACATCAACTTCGTCAACGAGATGGCCGACTTCATCAACAGTACCTCTGGGAAGCGCGTACGTATCTGGGGTACTTACGAGCCATCCGAGAATCTCACCATCTCGAAAGACATCATAATACAGCATTGGCAGTACGGTCAATCGGACCCTCTTGAACTCCAGAACTCCGGATACGATATGATCAACTCGGAGGATTGGTGGGCATACATGAGTCTCAAGAACGACCACATGCCCATTCTCCCGGCGCCTTACCCACAGTTCTACAACGTCACGCGCACGATGAACTTTGCCAATGTACCAGGATGGCAGTGGGATCCATCTCTCTACAATCCAGTCAATACCACAGAGCAAGTAGAGCCGGGCGCTCGCGGTAACAAAGGCGCTCTTCTTGCAGCTTGGAATGATAATGGTGCGGATGCGACTACGCAACTAGAAGCCTACTATGCGATGCGTGAGGGTATACCAGTCGTGGCGGCGCGTGCGTGGGCTGGTGCGCGAGGTGCGAAGATCGATCCGACTGAGTTGGCGGATAGTATTGCGCTCTTGGTATGTTCAAGCGAAGCAAGTAGTTCATTCATCTTGACGCGTTGGCTAACAAGAGGTCGTTCTAGGCAACTAAAGCTCCAGGGCAAAATCTGGATCGCCGTTTCGCGACCACGAACATAGATACGAAAGGCTCAGCGCTGGTGTCATGGACGCGCAATTCCTCCAGTGACAGTAACGAGATGCTGGGCATGGGCTCATACGGACCACCGTACACCCTGACCCTGAACGTATCCTCATCCTTCACGATGATCGGTCCTGATACCTCGCTCTCTATCGCTACTCTTCCAAACAACTCCAGTGGTAGCACTGCAATACTCATGTTCATCACGGCCGATGGCTTCGAGTATCCTCTACGTTCCGTATCTCCGTTTGATGGCCACGATACAGGACATCCGGGCCGCATATGGACCAACCAGACTACATCTTCCCATGAGCCAGTGCCGGTTATACTCCCAGCAAGCTTGCGCATTGAGACCGACATCATCAGCGGCAGTCGGGTCTGGGTGAATGATACATTCGCGGGCCGATTCGAGGTGTTCGTGTTTGGGGGACGGAATACGCTGTTTAGCTGGAGTCAGATGGCGCTTGTTGCGCCGGTAGACGTAGTAGAGGGTGGTGTTGATAGTCTGATGCTTCAGACTGGTGTTGCGCTGGGAGCGTCATAGGAGGATGCAATGCAGTTGACGCGATATAGAAGGTGCGGACACTATAACAATGTAACGGGGATTGAATAGATAGGCGTAATGAGCTTGAATGCTTGAATCAACACAATTCATCAACGGTAGCCCAAGCATGATTTCTGGATGCATATAGTCATACCAGGTCCATCAACTTGTTTTCATCTCTCAATATGTCGCTGTTAATCGCCCAATGATATAATCCCCACTCATAACATCCTCGTAGTTCCTGCCCTTCTCGTATGTTCCTGGTATAGCCTCGATCTTGCGGTCGTAATTCGGATTGCAGAAGTAGGCTATCGAGTATCGTGGCGGGTATTCGTCCTTGTCAGCGTCCTCCGGCTTTGGCGGTGGCTCCATGACGCGATGCTTCGTTGACTTGATGGTGTCGTTCGACCAGCGTGCTAGCAGATCGCCGGCGTTGACGACAATGGTGTCTGCGATGGGGGTAGCGTTGACGAATGTGCCTTTGGGGGAGCGGACTTGAAGGCCACCGCGGGCGTCTTGGAAGAGGAGGGTTATAGAGCCTGTCGTTGCGTCAGTCAGATCCTATCACCGGATTGTGACGACTGCCATACCGTAGTCGCTGTGCTCTCCTGCGCGCACCTGCTCCTGCCCATCATTCCTCTTGAAGATGCTCTTCGACACACCCGGGTAGTGCAGCAGCCTTAGTGTGTTGTCGCCCGCATCGGTGAAGCCGTCGAACCACTTCTCATCAATGCCCATGCCCAGCGCAATAGCGCGCATGACCTGCATGTGAAGGTCCTTGCATGTCTCAAAGAAGCCCATCATCTGCTCCTTGAACTGCGTCGCCTCGTCGTCCCCACTCGGCCACATGTTCGGCATTTCAGGCTGGTCGTCGCGTCCAATCTCCATGCTCTCCTTGAGATCCGGCACCAAGGCGCGCATCTCCGCTTCTGTGCCTGTCTCTTCCAGCACTACCAGCTTCTCCCGCCCTTGTGTGACATAGCCGCGGTTGGCGGCAGCCGAGTACCATGCCAACTTGTCTTTTTGCTCTTTTGGCCGCGCGAAGAACTTGGCGGAGTGCGAGAATACGGTGGATACGGTCGAGGGGGATATGCCGTGGTTCTTTAGGTAGATGAAGCCGGCGTTTTGGAAGCCTTTGAGGACGGCGTCGGCGGTTTGCTTCTTCGCATCGGCGTCGCCTGAGAGGAATACCGAGAAGTCGATGAGCTAAGCATTGTTAGGTGCTGGCCGAGATGTCTGAATGAATATAAAGTACCGGAATCTCCAGATCGTCCTGCGAGACGGCTGATGTGATGTTCGCCATGTCGTCACTCCTTGTCGCGTCGTTTCGGTCCGAGTTTGGAAGGGGGTGCAGAAGAACAGCTGCTATAAAGACACACTCACGCGATGGAAAGAGAGACTTGGATATCAGGCGATTTGCGCGTCAGCGGCCATCTCCGCCGTAGTTCAGCCATGATGGGACAGCTAGATGTTGTAGGCGGGGTTGTTGCCGAACACAGAAGGTGTACACGAGCGCGATAAGGCTAATGGTGGGGTCGCTTGGCTGGAACCTCAACACCACGCTTGCATCGTGATATCCATCTCCGCCTATCATACAGCCGTCTCAACGACATCGAGCTCAACACGTCTCAGCATGTCTCATTCATGCTCGAGCCTCACTGCTCTCCACTCAGCTGGTGGGCCTGAGATGATCGCTTTGTCGCTGGTCTCACCGCCACTTTGAACCCGTCATCATCAGTTTAGACATCGGTTGGCTACGATGTCAGGGAATCTTAGTTGACTGATCAGAGGAGAACACTTGAAACATGGCTCTCGTTACAATATCGACAAGGCGACGGAAGCGATCCTCGTTTGCGTAGTTCGAAGCAAGATATCCAAACGACTATAGGCATGTTTTAGGCTACGGAAGGAGCACGACAGCTCAGCTTGACGTCTACTACAAAACCTCAATGGACACACGAATATATCAAAAGGCACAATGATGAGTGCGCGGCAGGATACGGTTTCAATTCGCTCAGTGAAAAGTATGCGAGTTCATCAACGTCTTGCGGTGGTATCTGCCTTTCCTATGTCTACTCTCTCGTCTTCTGCAGTCAATGAACATCGTCAACAGCTCATAAAGAAAGATAAGCTCACTTCTCTGCTTACCAATGGTCCCTAAAGTACGCGCATATTGTATCTCTTCCTCAACTCCGCGCATAAAGCGCGGATATCAATGAAAAGGAAAGGTGGGCCGTAAGTGAACCCGGGATTGCCAGTTCCTCGCTTCCTATCTTCCATTCAATATCTTGTCTCATTGGTAAGAGGGTGATAAAAAATGGTAAGCAGTCCACGATGGTCCGAACGCTCACGTCATCTACTAGAGATGTCAACCCAAACACCCAACATCTCCAACGTTAATTTTTACCAGAACGCCGGATTTGCTGAATGCTTGGTAAGTATTTCGTCCAGGGTCGAGCATGTCATCAAGATGACGTAGCTCGAGGCAACGAGAGGAGCGGACTACTGCGCCTGATGGTCGCGATCATGACCAGCTCGTCGTTCTCGTACTGTGCGCGGATCCATACAAGTAGCGACGAGTCGCACCAGGTGCTCTGGCAGTGCTCGAATGCGCTTGAGTTGGTCGGGGTACCTGTCGAGTGAAGTCTTGTCGAAATCCGCAATTTCGGCCGAAGCGAACTATGCCGGAGACTGTCTCTCCTGAAGAAGAAGAAAAGAAGCAAGAAGAGGAGGGGCGGGCGAGATGATATACTTCTAGCTACACGCTAGCGATCACTCACGTGATCTTCGTAGTGCGTGCGCTGGAGCCTAGAGTATCCAGGGACCGCGTGTGAGCAGTGAAGGAGAGTAGGGTTATTTCCTCAATAGGTTAGCTCCGCCTTTTCGACGCTGCGAGCAAACAGATCAATCCCACAGTTGTAAATTTCCACCAACTTCGCTCATTCCTCGCCGTCCCAACCCAATCAATCATGGTCGCATCACGAGCCGACGCCCTCGAGAAGGAGCTCTACGAAGAGAAGGTTGCACACACTGCGACCAAACAAGAAGTCATCGATCTCCGGAAGCATCTGACGGATTCGGAGCAGAAGCGGAGGGTTCTTGAAGGCGACAACCAGCTCTTGGTCCTCAAGTGCAAGTTCCTGGAGGGAGATGGTGAAGACAAGGATGTTGGAAGCAGCGATGGCGACATGGGAGCAGTCGTTACCGAAGACGAAGCGCTCAAAGCTGCCCTACCCGACGCGCCAATCCATCATCCAGAGATCTACAAAGCACGTTCGACTTCGCATTCGGAAGGTCAGAACAGCATGTCTTCCGCAAACTACTTGAACCACATCACTAACGGTCTATCAGAGGACGACGTCGCCGCCTCGACCCATGGTACCAAGCGGACTTTTGATGAAACGAAGTAAGTAGGCGTCACGCTACCATCAGTATCTCCGCTAATCGATGTACAGCTTGGACGATCAGCGCGTGATAGTATGCATCGACTGCTATCAACACAAGCTCCGATGCGACCCCGGAGAGCCTTGCAACAACTGCTTCAACTCCAACCGCGTCTGCAAAAGGGCCAAATGCAGGGACTACGAGACTGGACAATGCAAGCGAGTCAGTTGTCTGAGAGCACATCGCCAGGATGAGGAGGTGTACGAGAACATCGTTCGCGCAGGACATGTCCCCAGGACCGACCCTTCCAAGCCCATCATGCCTAGGAAGAGGCCGCGGAGCTTCCGGTACCGAAAGGACGACGATGACAAGAAGGGGGGTTCAGGAGGCTCTGGGGGTGGTGGTGGGGGTACTGGCTTAGCTCTGCGTTACTAGTCGTCCAGAGAGCGCCACGAGGATGTCAGGAGTGAGAGTTGGAAGCTACCCATGAGTTTGATAGAGCACAGATGAAAACATACATGATGTAGCAAGTTTCATTAACAGTCGTTCTCGCTTTCTTCGAGACTATCAGCCCATTTTCACTTCTCGACGCCACCCATTTCCCTCCTACTTTGAATCAACGCTGCTGTATTCGTGAACTCTCAAGTAGGCCTGTCATGCTACAGGAGACTTCCGGGCCGCAGTATCGTTAGCGGCGCGCCCATGTATCTCATAGGTAGGTTGTCAGCCAGCTATGCATTGGGCAATTTGCATGATGTTTACCTCAAGTACCACTAGCTTCTTGCTCTTGTCGTAGCGCTAAAGACATGTCGCCGGGAACGCAGATGACTATTCATGCGCCTTAATGACCTGCATAGGGTAAATTACGATGTAGGTATCCGGATAGAACCGTAATGCGTTCCAACTATGCCAGCTGTCTAAAATGGACACTAGGGGTGGCTTCAACTTGTGTCTCATTCTACAAAGACAAAGTTGCGGTAGGAGTATACATAACCCTCAAGACAGTCTGGTTGGTAGTATTTAATAGTATGTATGCGACACGAACTATAATCACCCTTGGTGCGGATGGACTCAATCAATTGCTGCTTGCACCGTGATCCGCTGATCAAGACTGTCCAGCTTTACTAGTATCTTGTCCAAATCGATACGCGCCTGCAGACTGGGCCCTTGAGACACAGTCTGAAGTTCATCAAGAAGCGCGCCGCCAATGTCTCTGATCTTCGGCAGAATACTATATCCGTTAGCTTCAAATACCTCTTCTGGTATGTCATACAGGACGTCAGATACGAGCTGGATTGGACCACATTAGCGCTTTTCAACTTTCCTCGTATGACACGCATCACGGGCTGCCCAGCTTTGCTGCCGAGCGCGTTCCTCAGTTCCCAATTGTGGCTCCATGTTGTAGAAGATAGTTGAAGCGCAGAGAACCTGGGCGCCGCAAAACCCGACGGACAAGTGATGCATTAGCGCCGCGTCAACGCTAGCCTCAAGCTTCAAGCAATACTGATAACTATCGTGTGTCTTCTCCGATCGCACCTGGCAAGTCCTCGACGTCTTACTTTACTTCACCAGGGCAGGCTGGACGCAGACGTCACAACACACTGAACAAGCATCGGCTGACGACGGCCTTATAGGTTGATACTGGCTTATCTCACTTCGGTTCATTTGTCTATTCGTTGAGTTGGGTGAGATGTCATTGAATGGTCTTTTCGGTCCTCAGTCCTTTCTATACGTATGGCTACAATAACTTGTGAAGAAGCGTTCATCGCCAACTCTTTCCCTACCAGGCAACGTTCAGACAAGCGAATTGCCTAGTCAAGGTCTGCAATCCACCTGTACAAGTAGATTTCCAAGAGCTCATTCTTGTACATCCTTGTTTCCGCCTTGATCTCAGCGTTCCTAGCTTTTAGAACCTCGTGCTCGATCTTCCGGGCCTCCACCTCAACCCTCGCGACAGCATTCTCCCTTATGAGCACTGCGCGTTTCTTCTTCGTCTCTCTTATCACCCTCGCTGTCTGCGCCTCAAGCATCGCTATCTTCTCGCGCGATGCTTTCTTCCATTCCTCCTTGGCTCTCGCCTTCTCCTCCTTGACCCTCGCCTTCTCCCTGAGTCTCGCTCTCTTCTCCTCCATCTTCTTCATTGTTTCTTTTCTTGCCATCAACTCCTTCTTTAAAGCCTCCTTCTCCTCCTCCACACGAGCTTTCGCCTCTATGTTCATGTCGCGACTTTGTTGCACAAGCTCGATCCACTCTCTGAGGAATTGCTCGTGAAGGCCTTGGTGCGCTTGCTTAAGTTCCTCATGATGACGGAGAATGGAGGGTTCGGCGTTGATCGCGAGCGCAGCTTGGTAATCTTGTTCGATCTTGGCGGAATCGGCAACGAAGACGAGATGGTCCTTTTCTTTTGCAGAGAGCTGTACATTGAGCTGATCGAGAATCTCTTCGGCTGTGAGCGGACCAAAGGATGGAAGGGCTGTGGTATCCGTACCGTCGCCGCTGTCGGTATGGGTGTTGTCAGGCTCGGTAGAAGACATCGTGGATATCAGAAGACGGCGTGTCGCGCTTGTGAAGCAGTGTGTAGCCTTAGGTGAGAAGATGGATAGCGATGGCTGTAGTGGTGACAGAGTATGAAGCGCAGAGTTGTAGAGTTTGTGTGCTCCTTGGCAGATCTAGCTCGTTACGGATACGTCAGTGAAAGATACGGACGGCGGTTGCTGGATATGCGACGACTCACTCAAGTCTAAATCGAGCTTATCGTCGCTGAGCAAATAGAAATGGATCATTTGTCGAGCGGCGCGTGTAGAGATACTGCCTGTTTCGGTGTCGGGAGCGCCAATAGAGCCCTGGAGGTGTAGGCAGCAAAGCGTACGGTCAGGTGTCGGTGTATTTGAGCGTTTGATTGGCTTCTCCTTTGAACCTCGTTGTATCATTCGCTGATAAGGCCGTTTGATTTACCTGAGTGACGTCGCAAATTGTCGCGAAAATACGCACTGACTATATTCTACGCACTCACCTTTTCAAAGTCATATTTGTTTCAAACAAATCTACTTCTTTCCTACTATCCTCATCTTCAAAGCCTACGTATCCCACCCAACGCACATCAGCAACTTTCCTGCAGCCACCCGCCCGCCCGCAACGAGCCCATATCAAGATGTCTTCCGTCGCAGATCTCGTCCAGCAGCTCGCCGATATGAAACTGATCATGGCCGCCAAAGATCGAACAATTGTCGCTCAGAAACAGAAGATGGCCGACAAGGATCTGGCAATCGCGCATCACCACAACAAGTCCAAGTCCCGCAAGTTTCGGATCGAAGAGTTGGAGGCAGATCTTAAGGAAGCGAAAGAGAAAATCGCAGAGATCGACTCCGGCGACTCGGACGCCACGAACGTCCAATATATCGAAGAAAAGCCGAAAGCTGCCCCTGTGTACTACGAGGACTACTACGAAGAACTTGTCGAGGAGAAGGCTGAGAACAAGGTTATAAGAGCAGAAAATGCCAAACTCAAGCACAAGACCTTCAGTCTTGAGTGCCAGGTCGAGCGTCTTGGGGGCGAGGTCGAGTCTAGCGATGAAGTCCCCGGTACTCCTGCAGCCGAGACTATTTTCCCCAGCGACGAGCCCTTGGATGGAACCACTATTACGTCTGAAGCTGATCTCGCTGTCTCCAATGACGAGCCATCGGATGAGAATATCGTCACGCCTGAAGCTGATCCTGCTCCCACCGACGACGAGCCGAGAGGCCACAAGCGTACTCTTTCGCAGTCCGAGGTCGCATCAACTGAGAAGGTCGAGAGCAAGAAGGCCCGCCCTGCATTCTGGCGTGGAAACATGACGAGCCGACCTAAGAAGAACAAGGCCGCCGCACCGAAGAGACGTGAACAGCAGAACCAGGTTTGAGGTAGATATATCCCCAGACACATGTTGTACAAATTACCAACTTACCGTTTAGCAGCTACATGGGCTCCCGTTGGTATCTTCAGTCACCCGGAAGCTCACTGAAGCTTGCCGGGCCTCATCGTTGGTCCTGATGTATGTGATAGCGTTGGGGATCGGTTGCAGCATACTGGGTGGGATTGCAAGGCCGGACAAAATCGCCGAGTTGATGATAAGGAATTCGAAACACTAAACTATTGAGATTGACAACGTGATTGTGATCTAACAGCCTCCCTGGTGATGTATGAGTTGCACTTGCATCCGCTGTCGATGCGATGTTGTCGTGAAAGAGACATAGGAATCTCAGACTTGCGAGGCTGGAAGGCGCGTACCTCGGCGTTAAAGTGGATACCTCGATGCTTAACTCCGAGCTTGTGAGGCGCAGCTTCCTCATACCGCCATCTCGTCTCAGAAACAACAGAGTGCACCTTTGACTCAGACTGCGGCCTGGTCCTGGTTCAGACCCATCCAGCACTACCAACAACTCAACATGTCGTTCCCGCATTGCGCATCTCCGCTGTTCGAGCTTCCACAGGAGCTTCTCGAAATCGTACTCAGCTATCTTCCTCCGTCCCAAGACGCCTCGAACCTTTCTCGTACCTGCAAAGCTCTGCACGAAAAGACCGTAGCGCATCTATACAGCAACATCAGCATGCAATGGCAGGCCGGTCATGCAACTCGCCCGCTGAGTATTCATGATTACCATCCGTGGCAACGCCGAGCTTTCCGGCCCAACATTCTCCTGCAAACAATCCTGGCGAAACCCGCCTACGCGCAATCGATCACTAGTCTCAGACTGCAGACTACCGGACTTGGGGGTTGTTGGGACGAGTGGTTTCGTAATCCACGCAGACGGGAGCCTTTGGAGAAGCGGAAACCGGAAGCTGCCCCGATTTGGACAAACGCGAACGAGCGACTGGCCCTGGACGCCGTACGGAATGCAGGGCTGGAGTGGCACCATAAAGGACGCGGAGATGCTTTTGCAGTCAGCGGTCGTTCTTGGTATGAAGCTATCCTGAAGTACGATTTGGATGCTACCATAGCGCTGCTCGTGTGGATGTGTCCCAATCTTGTCTCACTCGATCTGGGGTTTCACATCGGCAGCGACGTAGTGTACATCCCTGAAATCTTGTGGAAGCTGCGCTCTTGTGGTGCGGAGTCACAAGCTCTCGGTTGTCGCAAGCTTCGAAACATTCATCTCGGCCGTGGGTATAGCGGTTATGTTAAGGAGGATCATCGGTGGTATAGTTGGAGTCGGATCAAGTATCTACACCAACATTTGGATTGGAGGGGATATTGGGCTTTCTTTTGGTGTCCAAACATCCAGAAGATTGAAATGAGCTTGATGGATGAGATTGCCCAGGCAGGTTTCCAGAAAGCAACACCTCTACCTGTCTGCTCAACGTTGACGACATTGAGACTCAGCGAGTCTTCAGTGGAACCAGACACACTCGCGAAACTGCTGTCTTGCACACCAGCTCTGAGGAAATTGGACTACGAATACTGGGTTCGCGATCAGGCGTTCTTCACCGTGGATTGCGCATCGCTCAGCGCCGCCCTCAACAGTGTCAAGAGCACCTTGGAACATTTGAGATTCTTTTGTCAACTGCATTCGCCGGGGTCCGTTGACGTTTACGGAAACTGCGATTTTCGGGAATATCCCATTCTCTCCTCCCTTCACGTCCCGCCTGCCGTAATACTAGGCGGTGAGGCTTCCCTTTGGCCCCGAATCGAGGAAGTCATACCATCGAGCCTGGAGGAGCTGTGCTTTGTCCATGATGGTCTTCTCAAGTTCTGGAGCCCGAAGGACTTGATACCGTTGCTAGACGACTTTTTCCAGGGTGGTTGGAGAGTTAAAACACCAAAGCTGCAACGCGTGTACGCGACGCACAACAAGCCGTGGAAAAAGGCGTGTAGGGGAAACTATCTGCGGCTTTTGAGCGAACGAAATGGATTAGAATGGGTAAACACTAGCTGAGCAAGAGAATGAAGATTTTGTGTTTACAACACAAGGATTGTCGGAGATTCTGACAGAGGAACTCCGAAGCCGAGACAATACGAAATGTCCAAGCGGCTGCAGTCGGTGCGAAACGTTCCGGCGTGTACCGACATCACGATGATGGCGATGATGTTCGTGCTGCATCGGGAGCTGGACCCTGAGATCGCGTATTATGGGATGACGTCTTCGATTGACGACACACGCGACGCGCGATGGTACAAAGACAATGGCATACCACGACTTCTTGCTGAATCTCATCCTACATCTACAATCCCATCTCGCTGCATCGCATTCGTACACGTGACCCTACGTGCATTCCCTCTACAGCCTCGAACTCCATCACAGCCTCCAGTATGGGCAACACACAATCTACCGTGCGCTACCTTGCGCCGGCATCCTTCATCTACGACTTTGCTCTGCAACAATATGGCATCTTTTCGTCGCCCAACATGATGGATATCCACAACCGGAATCTTGCCGCTTTCAGCCCGTACCCATACTTCATCGGCGCATTCTTCTTTCCACAGCAAATCTTCCAGCTGGTCTGGTTGTGGAAGCTGTGGAAACAGGATGGTAATGCGCAAGAGTGTGCGATGATGAACAAGTTTGCTTGGGTTTACAGTCTGGGCAACTTTTGCATTGGAAGTACGTATTATTGAAGTACCACACAATGATGATGTAGAATGAATTCTGACGTGTGCGATAGCTTGGATGTTCTTCTGGAACTCCAACAACCTGGAGACATCGAACATCTTCGTCATTATCAACACACTGGCACAGGTCGGTTACATCGCGACGGCGCTTGAGCCGCTCGACACACGCTCAACACCCAACCTCCTCACCCACATTGTCTCGAAGACGTTCGCGGGTATCGGTGTACTGGATCTCCTTCACAACACATCCGCAGCCTACTTTGTAGGTGTAGAGCCCAGTTCGCTGGTGCAGGTGGCTACCGGTGTTGGCTTCGCCGCGGCGGCAAGCATGAGCGACTGGATCTTCGGCGGCTGCTTGGTGTACGACCTCGTTGCGTTGACCGTCGGACAGGAAGGCAACTGGTCCAGGCTGCTAGGAGGATATGCGGCCATGACAGCGGGTATCGTGGCCTTCAGGAACTTCTTCTAGTAGGTTCACTCGGCCGTCGCATGCTGAGTCGTGCTGACGGATCGCAGTCCAAGGTGGAAGGCGCAGAAGGAGGGAAGGTACGCCAGGGTCGAGAATGGCGGTGACGTGGTTTAGATATTGGGGGTCGCAGGTCGCGATACTTACCCTGATGCGGACATGTCAGTGATGTGCACGTTGATTACTTCCTATAATGATAATTAAACTTCGTATCACTCTACGGTCTCGGTAGCACACCCAGTCTGCTTCGCTGTCTGTAATATGCAGGTTCCAGAAGCTCGACACAGGACGATGCCTCAAGTCCAGCCTCACTCATGGTGGGTTTCTGTTACGTTTCGAGGCAGATCTTAGTGCAGTGTATTAGTTGACGCTTGGAGGCCGAAGCGACGGACCCATCCGATGGCGGAGAGGAGGGGCAGATAGGCATGCATCGTCATTACAGCTGACGCGCTATAGGCCGACCCCATATTGAAGTTGCTCGA